CTACCCTCTACCCTCAGAGAAGTAACATCTGGCCTCATATCCAAAGTCTAACTGATAGGTAGCATATAATTGCATGTATTTTTACAATTGAATCTTTATACTGATTTTTTAAATGCATTCCTATTAGAGAAATGTTTGATATAGACCTATGATTCATGGCTCACAACTTCTTCTTATTATTATATATTCATTTGGCCATTGTATTATGTTCTGGGACAATTTCTGGGTTTGATCTTCCATATCACAAATTTACCTATCAGCTCATCTATTGAGTTTTTATTCTAACAGAGATATAATTTCAGTTCCATTGTATCTAATCTGTTTTTTTTTTTATGGATAGCAGTTTGTTCTTATTTTTTTAATTTATTTTTTTCCATGAATATATACCTGCTCTTATTCTTCTGGGCATTAGATTTCTGTTATTCTATTTATTAATTTTTTGCTTCTTGTATTAATTAACAAGAGTTTTAGACTCTTTTTATATTATTTTCTTCAAAATGTAATATTCTTGGGTGTCAGCTCATCTTTTCTTGGCTTCCCTGCTCACCTATCTGTTGTGACTAGTTCAGTTTACTCAGCTCTCCTTGAGTTAGAGACAGATGGGACATTTGACTCGGTGCAAGAATCCAACAGCTCATCTTTTGAGAGTAGAGACTATTTCCTGGGTGTCACCCATGTGCCTGGGTAAGCTCTGCGTCTGTTCTCTGTTCCTGTGTTAGCGACATGTATGTGGCTTCTGGTGCTTGGCAGAATGGGATAACAGAGAAAACAAATCCTACTCTTATTCTAGGTCCCTTTCTGCTCACTGCATTGCCTTTCCCTGCATGTACAGCGGCACTTCTGGCATGGCTCCTGCAATTCACAGATGTTTTCTAATGACTATATGTTTCCCTTAATCCAAGCCAAACTGTTTCAATCTTTCAGGAGATATTTAAAATATCTGATGTCCTGATGACATTCTCTTCTAATGCTGCTTTATATTTATTTAGAATATCTTTTCTATCATTCCTAAGATTTTGCTTGAAAGAAGAAAGTAGATATATGAGGTCAGTCTGTAATCTTAATTTTTTCATTTGGATGTTGATTGATTCCACTGGTTCTCCTTGTTATGTGTTTATTTCCCTTTACCCATTCCTGCTCTGACAGCAGCTTTCACACTGCTAACTGATATAGTGCCTTATTTAAATGGGAGTCACAAAAATATTTAATTGTTTAAAACTTCCCACAGCATAGAATACTTTAGTGCAAATAAGATAAAAAATAATTGAATTTACAGAAGGCTCCAGATTCTGTAATAAAAGCTAACCAAAATGACTACTGGATAAAACTCTTAATTTAAGTAGGAAAAGGTGGAATTAGTTTTAGTATCCACACTTCATCATATGGAAAAAATAATCTAAGTAGTCTGCCATGTCAGTAGTCCATTAAAAAAAACATAGGCCAGGTATATACTAATCTAGTTTATTTTGGCCCAGTGCTTATAAGAATGTTTTTAGAAAAAAAAAAATTGTGTTAACTTTGAGCAAAGATAATTGTTGCACAGTTTCATGGGATTTAATTTGTTGCTTTTGTGTGTTTTAACTATTTAAGATGATTTTAAAATATCATAAAGTACTTCATCTGTTGTATTTTATTATTCAGTGATTTTTACTGAGTACCTACTAAAAACTAAAGTGCTGGAAATGAAAAGAGATGAACAAGACAGTGCCATCAGAGCACTCATGGTATACCTGTATTTTCATACATCTCAACCTATTGTATTTCCCTGTTTTCATTGGGGACTGGCAAGTTAGGTTGAGAGCCCCGTGAAATATATCGAGACTGCTTCATCTTCTTTTTGTATTCTCAATATCTGGAAAAGGCCTTAGTCATAAGAGTTGTTCAATAAATGTTTAATTGATTAGTAGTAGTATATTTGCATGCTTATAAGACCTAATATACGACTCAAATAAGATTGTTATTCAATAATACACTAATCAGGACAAATAGAAATAATAACGCTTCACAGATCAATTGCTACATATATAAGTATAATTTGTACATTTTATATAGAGACAGATCCAGATATGATATCCAGAAAGATTAAAAACTTTGAAGAGGCAGCTCTTGCCCCATATCCAAAATCTCCATTCTGGCACTTTTCCTTTGATAACACAAGTTAGCGTAGTACCTGGAGAGTAAATTGGTCAATCTTATAAATGTTCACTTAATTGGATAGCTGATGTTCTATTTCCTTTCCTACAGACTTTTGGATCCTTTTAAACATTTCATAATCCAAAAGATATTGAAAAGTTCAGGTACCAGTAGGCAAAACTTACTATCAAGAGAGGGGAGGGGAAGGTACTGTTAGTGAAATACCCTCTTCTCTGCAACTGACAATAAGAAAGCTTTCCCTGAGAAGAGAATAATTGTTGCAAACTAATGGCAGTTGCATTTATAAATGATTCATCATCTCTATATAAAGGTATCATAATTCCTCACATTAGCATTACAGGATTCACAGAATTCTTGAGATATAGAGGAACAGGTAAGGAGTTTTGTGAATATTCAGTTAGAAAAAGCCCATATTCTTGCAGACAAGGCTTTTGAAGTTTGATCTCTAGACATTTTAAGATCATTTCTCTCTATCGCATCTTCTGGCCTAGTCATAGGAGATAATCGTTATCATTCCCTTGACAGGTCCTGTATTTTCATGCCTGCACTCAGTCTCCTCCCTCTACCTACAACACTCCAGCTTTTTTTTCTGCCTGGCGAAATCCTCTCCATGGTTTAAGATCCAGTTAAACTTCATCTGCTTTGGGAAGCATTCCCCACCTCTCCCAAGGGATTTTTACCTTAGCATAACATTCGATTCATTGTGCTGATCTGTCACTGTCTTGTGACTACCTGTGTCATTTCCACTTATACATGATATCTTTCTCTTAATTCTGGGGCCCCTAAAAGGCAGAACATTCTATCCCCTAAACAAGGGACCTGGAATACATTAAATATCCAACAGAATTTTAATCCTACCTTCCAATTTGTTTAATTAAATCATCTAATTCTCTAATTTTACCTATGGAAACTGAAGCCTAGAGAGATAAGGAGCTTGTCAGTCATCAGGGAACAAATCTCTTCCAGAGTACAGATAACAACTCTCTCTTTCCTTATCCACCAGCTCATAAGGGAAAAGGGCTGGCATATTAGAGTCTAGAGTAACAAACCCACCCTTCTTGGCTATTTGCTTAACTTTTTACTGAAAACCTAACTCCTAAACTGTATTGCTGGCAATGGTAGTTTTCCTCAATAACAAAGACTTCCCAGTTCAGAACATATACATATGTAGCTAATAGGAAAAGTGAGTAAAAGTCCAACATGATAAACAGGGAGGTATGTCAAACTCCTATTCAGTCTATGAAAAACCTACTTATAATTCTAACTTTGCTTCCTTAAATACAGAGAGAAGGAATGGGTCATTTGGAAAATCTGACCAAAAGTGCACATTTCAACACAGTGAAATTCTTTATCCCCCATTGCTCCTACCACACCAGGAACTTTCTATATGTGATTATTTAATCCCCAGCCAAAAGCTAGTGGACAATGAAATCTCCACAAAACGTTTTCCCCAGTGAAATGTTCAAACATCAGTTCCACAGAAAACCTTTTAATAAAAGCTTTACATGTAATTTTTCCATGCCAATTTTTTTCACTTAAGCCTAAAAATGCCCATATTTGAATATTCATCATTATGAGCACTGTCCAACAGTGTACATCATTCGACTATGGGATCTTGGTTCAGGGGTGGGGGGCAGGTGGTAGGTTTGGGTGGCTGTGACTGTGCTGATTATTTTCTGCTATCCACTGCTGTTGGATTTTCTCCAAATGAGCAGTTTGCTTCCATGCAAGTTCCTGTGGATTTCTCAGTGGCTCACTATGAAGAGCAAAATGAAGCCACAAATCACAAGGACATTTTTGATATTTTATGAGTTTTTTTCTTAAACCAATTAATATTAAGCCCATGGTGGTGGGAGCAACCATAAAGGACATGGTGGTGTTGCACAACAATGTGAATGTACTTAATGCCATGTACCTGTACGTCTAAAAACGGTTACAATAGTAAATTTTATGTTATGCATATTTGACCACACACACACACACACACACACACACACACACAAAGGACAACTTATAGAAGCTTGTCCTAACCCCTGAATCATGACAGAGGGAGAAAAATCAAATGATGTTCTGCATTGACAGAGCAAATGGCTTTTACTTTCCATCCCAACAGGCCATTTAACAAGGCTCTCCACCTTGCTCCTTTCCTCCAAAGAGTGGAAAGAAGAAAAGAAACTACTGTCAAATGAAATGTAAATCACAGAACCATAACCCTTTGAACACGGATTGGATGATAATGTCACCCATTACTCAACAGCTCCAGTCTCTCAATTGAGTCCCTCCCAACTCCTATCTTTCACAAAAACAGTGAACAGGTGTCCAGTATGGCTCTGGATGTGTTTAAATTCTAGACAACTGTCAGAGTAATTCCCTATAGAATTGTTCTTACAACTTTGAAGTAGGTTATGAAAAAGCTCTAAGATAACAGATGAGGAACAGAGAGTGCTGTGCAAACACGGAGGAGATTCATCAGTGAGCCGACTGGTTGTTTTTGAGTTTCTAAAAGGCATCACGTGGTGCCCTTATTTCAGAAAACCCTGGAGAACAGAAAGAAGAGCCATTGGGAAGAAGTTACAAAAAGGCACAGTTTCATGTAGTTTCGAAAGACACATAACCATCTGGAAGGAGAAGGCCATTTATCCATCCAATTAGACGTCGGATTTACATAACTGCCCTGGAGATGTTCCATGGGAGGCAAAAGATGTAGACACCTGGGGTGCAGTCTAGGGCGAAGCTCAAAAGGAGCACACTGAAAGGGGAGAAGGTGCATGCAAATCAGCCTGATCTATGGGGCAAGGAGAGGAGCAGCAGGGGAAAATGGAGAGTTAGGGAAAGAAGGCGCTTACCAGGCCACCTCCACAGGTGCTGAAAGAGGCCAGCGAGCCAGGGTGCCGCAGCACAGCTCCGGTGTAGAAGCAGCCTGCGTCGGGCGGCGCGGGAGGGTGCGGGGCGGATGCTGCCCCCGTGGGGCCGGGGCCGGGATTTGGCCGCTGTTCCACTGCGAAGCGCGGCGCCAGGAAGCGGCCGTCTCTCCGGAGCAGCAGGTACAGGTCCTGAGAGAAGGCCGGGATCCGCAGCAACACTTCATCGCCATCCGGCTCGGCAGGCTGGGCCGGGGGCGGGGACGGGGGCGGCTGCGGGGGAGGCGGCGGCTGCCACGAGGCCGGGGCGCCCGGGGACAAGGCAGCAGCCCCGCTGGATCCCCGCGGCAGCTCCTGCGACTCGAGTTCCTCGTCCTCCTCACCCTCCGACGGCGGCGGGGGCCGGAGCCGGGACTCTGATCGGCCCTCCACGGGATCCTCCAAAGGCACCGGAGCCACAGAGCGCACCTCGCGTGAGCTGCCGGGAGCCTGCGCCCGGGCGCTTCCGCCGGCCCCAACGCCGCGCAACCAGCCTGGGTCCGCGCTACCCCCGCTGCCGCCAGCCGTGTCCACCGGCTCCCGGCGCCAGAGCGCAGGAAACACGACTTCCCACTCCTCGCGGTCGGGGGCGAACTGCAGCTCTGCGGGCGGGGCAGACAGAAGTGCGGGGCTTAAAGTGCCGCGGTTCCAGTAGCACAAATATTTCCAAGCTCACAATCCATAGATACAGGGCGCTCGCGTTGAATGCAATGGAGACCACCCGTCTAGCCCCTGAAACTCTTTGCAACCCCAGAAGCTTTGCGATCAGATTACAGACCCCAGCATTTTCAGAGTAAAAGTACGATTATATTGGGGGCGGGGGAAGGGGGAATCAAAGTTTGGTGACCGTACTTCATTGTTGAAAAGAAAACCGATGCAAAGACTCCAGCACGAGTAAACGATTTCTGAAGTGTATGCTAGAGCAGAGCGTTGCTATCAACTTAGGTACGTTCTAATTTTCCTCCAGGTGCTGTAAACGTACCTTTGCAAATATTATTGCTCTAATTAGAAGGAAACTATTCCACATACGGGTAAAACGAGGCCGGCAGAAGTGTGCTTCATTTCCGAACTTGACCCCTTAACCCGCACCTCAAGCTCATTTTTATTGCTACCTACTGAGCTCTGCTCTCCACGCACCGGTTGCACCAGCCCTGCCGACCCCTACGTTCGCGGTCTCCGCTGGGATGGCTGGAAAGGAAGCGAGAAAGTCATGGAAGAACTTACCTGAAACGATCCCATTCGACAGAAACCCCAGCTGGTAAAGGAGGCAGCAGCAGCAGATGTGAGTCAGGCGCATCTCGCGGTTCTTCCCCATACTGCGCTCCGGCGGCCGCGGCTTCTCGCCCGGCGCACGCCTCCAGCGCGATCCACTCCGGGCGCAGCGGCCTCCCCGGAGCGCTAGGAGGCCGGGCGGCGAATTTGCCCAGGCCCTTTGTCTGCCGGGGGAGGGGGTGTTGGGGTGGGGGGGTAGGCTCTGTGACTCCAGGAGGCCGCCGAAGCCCTGGCGGGGGTGGGGTGGGGTCGGGTGGGGGGAGGAGCGGGGGAGGCAGTGCCGCGGCCCCGCAGCGCTGGAGCTCCCTGGCGAATTAGGTGATGAGTCTATTTTCTGTGTTCTGGACGCTGCAGGAGTTTCCGAGGCCGAGCAGGCTAGTGCTGGAGCCCCACAGGACAGACCCACAGCCAGCCGAGAGCCGGGAGTGCTGCCTCTGGACAGGCGGAGGACTGCCCGGCGCGGGCAGGAGAGCTGTGGTGTCCGAGCCGAGGCTCGCCGCCTGCACCCGCGCGGAACGGGCGGAGGCTGGTGTCACAGTCTCAGCAACTTGGTGTGCCAAGCTCCGCACACTCCTCACGCTCCTTGGGACGCAACGCTGAAAGCTCTCACCCGCAGCAGCACGGAAGGGAATGAGTAGGGAGATGGGAAGACACGACTAGAGAGGTGGGTTGTAGAGCAGAAAAGAATCAAGGACATCTGATCAGAAAAAGGGACCAAGGGGTGCCCGCCAAGCGTGACTTTGCGGGACAAAGGTCCCAGAACACTGTGCACGTGCTCAAACGCCGGTTGGGATGGGGTGGGGACCCAAAATCCCTCACCTGACTATTGATTGGCCACTCGGGAAGGCCTGATTTGCATCCATCCCCTGCCCCCCATCAGTCAGTTGAGGTGTGTGCAGGTAGAGGTGCCTCCCCCTTCCCATCCCACTCCTCAATCCAGCTCCTCTTTTTGTCAAATTCACACATCACACAAGGCAAAAATTAGTGCAGACTTGACCACAAAGCTCAGGCCTCATTTACCAAAGGCCTTTGATTTGTCTTCTCATCTTTGTCGGAATTTTCTAAGCCCGGAGATAATGTAATTTGTCATGGAATGTGCTTTAAAGGTTCCCAGGAGAGTAGGCACCCTTACCTTTCAGAGCCTCTTTTCCTTCCTTATCTTCATAGCTCACCATTCATCAGTACTATCAGTTTTTCTCCTTCCCTACCCCACCCCATCACACACACACACACACACACACACACACACACGGAGTCCTAAAAGGAGTAAGAGTAAGGGAATCAACATTAAACATTATATTCTAAAGATCTCAGACCAGGTAAGATTATTTTGCCTTCTGTACTTTTTACTTGTACATATAAAATATATTTTTGCTGTTTCTGTCCTCTTTGGGGGCAGTTCAACCCCAAATATTTTTTTTCCTTTGTTGCAGTTCTCTTCATGGTACCTACTCCCCATTCCACACCTCTCCCTCAGCCACATCAAAGCGTTCATATCAGATTTAAGGATGATTGATCTGAACTGCCATTTGCATCCTCTGGACTAGGCCAGACACCTAGAAATGAGAAGTAATGCAAATCAGTGTTGTTTTTTTTTTAATTGCAGCACTGAGGTTGGTTCACCACTTCCTTTGTTGTTTTACCTTCTGTTCCTTGTGTCAAAGGTGACTACTATGCCTTTAAGGGAAGCAGACGATCTTATTTCAAAGGAAAGCCATTGTTTGAATAAGCTGGGTCCTATAATACTTTCTTTGAGTTGTCCAGAGTTTAGAAACAAAGGCAAAAACACTCTAGGTGAGTTTGTCAAGAGTGATCTGCCTCTAAACCCTGTCTTATAAAATCTCTAATGCTGGAGTAAGTAAGGTGTGGGTTTCCAGATGCTCAAGAAATATCTGGGTTACTTAGAAACCTAAATGCTTTTTTTTCGTGAGACTCAATTATACAGATTTAAAGCTAGGCAAAAAAATCAGAGGCAGTTTATTTTTCGAGTACAGGAAGCTATTAAGATTGAAAGCTAATTTCAATGAAATATTTCCAATAGATGAGCCTTAGCACGTTTCTCACACATATTTTAACAACAACAACAAAAAGCAGCACTGAAGGAATAATGCATATTAAGTTATTATTATTATTATTAGAGAACATTCATGATTTTTTAAAACTAAATGAGTTGTATAACTAAGTTAAGTATACTCAAAAGCACAGCTTACCAATGTAAGTTTGCATTGCTGCCTTTTTTTCCTACTAATATATAATCCCTACCTATCCTTCATGGTAAAGGTTAATATTAATTGTTATGGAAAGATTTGTCTAATTCCCAGCTAACTCTTCTCTTTTTTCCCTTTTGAAATACTGTTATAATGTATTTACATATTTCAGAGACATTTATAAGTCACTTGAGCTTTAATGACTTATGTACTTATCTCTCCTACTAGACTATCAATGTTTTTGAAAGGTAGGAATGATTTCTTTTATATATCACCTGACTAATTCAAGGATTTACACTGAATAGGTTCAGAAATTATCAGGAAATTCTCCAAGATGCTTTAGAAAGTGATGGAAATTGATTTTTTTTATGGTATTTTGTTCCAATTCTAATTCCTTGATCAGGAGTTGCATCACTGGCTCTGCTGGTGATTAGCCACTATCAACATGATTTATCTGGTTTACAGAATGAGCAAGCCTAAGAAAGAAATATGTGGCGAATTTTTGTGCTCTAGGAGAGACTTAGATATGCAAGTAAGAGCATCAGTTAAAGTGAGTGAATTTGAGTACCTTTGTATATAAAAGAAAGAACTAGCCTAATTTGGAATTGAGTAAACTGTGTGTGGTGAAATAGAGAAGAAAAGGCAGGACTGAGGCATGTGTGTGCATTACCAACCTTAGACGAAAGAAAAGAGCAGCTGGGAAAAATATGTTGGTAAGACAGATCACAACATATGTCACCAGATGGTTGCTAACACCAACAGAGCACTGCTTTTGTGTTCTTAGAATAAAGACAGAAGGAGAAGAGGTAAATGACAAAGTATCAGAGTAAGTGGAATCAACTGTTTTGGTGCTCATACTGTCATTTATAATCCACGCTCCTCCATATAGAAAGTTGGACTTGATGCTGTCAACTCTCCCTTGTTCTCTTCACTCATTGGCACTAAGCCTCTCACAACCTAATCTTACCCTAGGTTAAAATTAACCTAAGCTAATCTTAAATCCACCCGCCCTCCCCCCACCAAATTCTTAAAGTCTTGAGAAAATACACAGAACTCTTTCACTGAGTTCCATGAAGATACCAACTCCCAGTAGAACTCACATCTAAACTGACATCAAATCTTAAGCTAGTTCTGGCCATAATGGAATTACAGGGACTGTAGTTAACTCTCACCTTAGGCAATTGGAAAACATAGTACAGGTTTTTAGATATTGGACAACAGGGAGATTAGGGTTATGACTTTAGAGAGAAGAGAAGTAAATGAATTGGTCACTACAATTTCCCCAGCTTACTACCTGGAGGCAGTTTCAGGCCTTAACACAGAGAGAAGAAAGCCAAACAGAGCCCTGAATACAAGCTGAGTTGAGGAGGCAGAGAAGGAGGCTAGAATTTATAGGGCAGAGTACCAGAAAGGAGGGAACTACACAGAGAGTGAATCAGTTATCTATTGCTATGTAACAACCTTAGCAGTTTAAAACAACAAACATTTATCATCTGACATAGTTTCTGAGAGTCAGGAATCCAAGACTGGATAAGCCCAGGTATTTCTGATTAAGGCTGTCTCACAAGTTTGCAGTCAAACTCTTGGCCAGAGCTATAGTTTCAGCAGAATTAACTGGAAGAAATGGTTCTGCTTTCAACTCACTTGGTTGACAGGAAGCTCAGCAACTTGCTACACAGGTTTTCCCATAGGGCTGCTCATTACATGCATTCCCCCAGAACAAGTGATCTGAGAGAGAGCGCACCCAAAATAAAAGCCATGGTCTTCTTAAACCTAATCTTGCAAGTGACATGCCACCACTTCTATCATATTCTCATCATAAAAAGCAAGTCACTAGGTCCAGCCCACATTCAAATGGGGAAATGTCAAAGAATTTGTGGACATATTTTAAAAACCATCATTGTCTGCCCCTTGGCCATAAATTACAAGGAAACTTCAAAAAGTATGTGGAAAATGGAAGTAAAAGGTAAAAATAAAATAAAATAAAAACTTTATTTCTCAACGTAAGCTCCATCAAGTTCAAGACACTTTCGTAAGCCATGATACTAGCCTCTTACTCCATCCCTGAAGAACTGAAAAGTTGTGAGGTATTTACCCATGTCAATGCAGTCTTTTTTACATTATTAATTGAAGAAAAACGAATGCCTTTTAAAGATTAAGATTACGAAATAAAGTCAGAAGGAGCAAATCAGGACTTATAAGGTGATGTCTAATGATTTCCCATCAAAACTCTCACAAAATCACCCTTGTTTGATGAGAGGACTGAGCAGGAGCATTGTCATTTGGAGAAGGACTCTGGTGAAGCTTTCCAGGAGATTTTCTGCTAAAGCTTTAGCTAGCTTTCTCAAAGTACCCTTATAATAAGCAGACGTTATTCTTTGGCCCTCCAGAAAGTCAGCAAGCAAAATTCCTTAAGCATCTCAAAAACTGTTGCCATGACCTTTGCTCTTAACTGGACTGCTTTTGCTTTGAATGAACCACTAACCTCTCTTGGTAGCCATTGCTTTGATTGTGCTTTGTATTCAGGATTTTACTGGTGAAACCACATTCCGTTTCCTTTTACAATTCATCAAATAAATGCTTCAGTGTTTTGGAACCACTGATTTAACATTTCCATTGAAAGCCCTGCTCTTGTTTGTAGTTGAGTTGGGTGCAATGGTTTTGGCAGCCATCAGGTGGAAAGTTTGATCAATTATAATTTGTTTGGTCAGAATAATGTAAATTGAACTAATTGAGATGTCTGTAGTGTTGGCTATGACAAAGAGAGAAAGGGAGAATTCTGAATGTTTTCTGGAAGAACTTTGAATTAAATGTCTATGTTCTGATTTCTACATGTGAAGAAACCACCTAAAGCATAGGGTGAGTGGTGGGAGGGGGAGGCATAAAGTATTAAAGGCCAAACAATACTCCAAACATGATGAGTTCCTGCTGGCTAAGGTGGAAGGTCATCATAATATGAGGGATATTAGATAATGTTCTTAGAAAATCATCTTAGTAATAAAATTAAATTAGCCTTGTAATTAAAGTTTCATGTGGGACTATCTCAACAAGGCTTAAAAGATAGTTGCAAAATGGTTCATCTGTTTCCTAGTAATTTAATTTCCTGCTAGAACAAGGTCTATTTTATTTAAATGAATAATAATTATTTTATATATTTGTACTTTTTCATTTAGACAGGGTCTCACTCTGTCATCCAGGCTGGAGTGCAGTGGCTCAATCATGGCTCACTGCAATCTTGACCTCCTGGGCTTAAGCAGTCCCCTCACCTCAGCACAATCCTGAGTAGCTGGGACTACAGGCATACACCACCACGCCTGGTTAATTTTTGTATTTTTAGTAGAGATGGGGTTTTGCCATGTTGCCCAGGTCGATCTCAAACTCCTGGACCCAAGTAATCCACCTGCCTCAGCCTCCCAAAGGGCTAGGGTACATGTGTGTGACACAACACTTGGCTAGGAATAATAGTATTTCAAAACAACAACAACAACAATGTAAAGTTCTCATTCTCTGGCATCCAATTATAAATTCCAGGCATGGAAAAAATGACTCATAACAAGGAGAAAAATCACTTAGTAAAAACAGATCCAGATATGACAAAAGTAATAAAATAAGCCAACAAAAGCATTAAACAGCTATTACACATATGCTGTAAATGTATATGAAGATAGAGGAAAGCATGAACCTTATCAAGAGAGACATAAAAAGACCCAATTTGAAATTATGGAGATGGAAAATACAATATTTTTAAATGAAAAACATACTGGGTGGTATTGACAGTAGATTAGATACTGCCAAAAAAAGTATCAGTGAACTCGAAGACATAGCAAAAGAAACTATCCAAAGTGAAGCACAGAAAGAAAAAGACAAGAAGAATTGACTTGAGTGTTGGTGAACTGTGGCATAATAACAAGATATCTAATTTATGAGTAACTGGAGTTTTAGAAGAAGAGGAGAAATGGAAATGGGAAGAGAAACTATTTGAAAAAATAATGGCTGAATATTTTCCAAATTTGATGAAAACTATCATGTATACATGCAAACATAACATAGTTAATAAAACTATGCCAAGGCATATATTAAACAAATTGCTAAAAACAGAAAGGAAATAGAACATCTTAAAAGCAACCAGAGGAAGAAGACATTATCTAGAGAAACAAAGTTGAGAATGACAGCAAACTTCTCATCAAAACCTATGCAAACATGAAGATATATATAGTCACGTACCTCATAGAAGGACATTTTAGTCAACAGCAGAACACATATATGACAGTGGCCCCATAATATTATATCATATTTTTAATTCACCTTTCTGTGTAGGTATGTTTAGATACACAAATACTTAGGATTATTTTACAATTGCCTACAGTATTTAGTACAGTAATATGCTGTACAGGTTTATAGCAAAGGAGATATAGGCTATACCATACAGCCTAAGTGTGTCGTAGGATACATCATGTAGGTTTGTATAAGAACACTCTATGATGTTTAAACAGCAATGAAATTACCTAATGATGCATTTATCAAAATGTATCCTCTGCTGGGCACCATGGCTCACCCCTGTAATCCCAGCAGTTTGAGAGGCCAAGATGGGTAGATCACCTGAGGTCAGGAGTTTGAGACCAGCCTGACCAACATGGTGAAACCACGTCTCTACCAAAAATATAAAAAATTAGTCGGGCTTGGTGGTGGGTGCCAGCTACTTGGGAGGCTGAGGCAGGAGAATCGCTTGAACCCGGGAGACGGAGCTTTCAGTGAGTCGACATCATGCTGTTGCACTCCAGCCTGGACAAGAAGAGCGAAACTCCATTTCAAAAAATAAATAAAAATGTAATTTTTCATCAATAAGTGTTGCATGACTGTATGTAGATATTCTCAATAAAATCCTTTAACAGATACATAGTTTGTAAATATTTTCTCCTAGTTTGTAGCTTGACCTTTATTTACTAAATGGTATCTTAAAGAGCAAAAGGTTTTAATTTTGATGAAGTCCAATTTATTAATTTGTCCTTTATAGAATTCCTTTTTGGTTTTCTAAGAAGTGTTTCCTAAGCTAAGATCAAATCCTTTTCTCCTACTTTTTTTCTGGGTCTAAAATTTTTACTCTTAAATTTAGGACTATTATCCATTTTGACCTAATTTTGGTAAATGAGGTAGGATAAGCATCAAGGTTCATATTTTTATATACAGGTAGCCAACATTATTAGTAACTAGGACAATGCACATTAAATGCAAATTGAACCCACAAGGAGACAACACTACACACCTATTAGAATGAATAAAAATTCTCTACATTAACAAATGTTTGCAAGGATGTGGAACACCTGAAACTCTCATGCATTGTTCATGTGAATGCAAAATAGTATAGACACATTGGAAAACAGTTTGACAGATTCTTATGATTCTTAAATATACATTTACCCAACAACTCACCAACACAATTCCTACATATTTACCCAAGAAAAAATAATGTAGGTATACACAAGACTTTCATGTGAATTTTATGTCAGCTTTATTTATAATGGCCCCAAACTGAAAATAACCTACATGTCAATCAACTGATGAATAGATAAAAATATTGTAGTAGATTGTGGAACATAAGTCAGCAATGAAAAGAAAAGAACTACTGATGCAGGCAAAAACGGATGAATCGCAAAAGCATTATTCTAAGTGAAAGAAGCTTCCCTTTATATGAAAGTGGAGAAAAGATAATACGGAAGTAATTAAAGAAGTTCAGTCCCAGGAGCTTTGGGAGCAAAGAGGGAAAAGGGCTATGAGAGAACTATTTTAGGTGATAAAAATCTTTATCACAATTAAGGTACTCATTGCGCAACTATATATTTTTCACAAATCATTCAAATTGTACACTTAACGGTTAAATGTTTTATATGTAAATTATATCTCAATGAATCTATTTACAGAAAGACTTAAGCTAAATATGTGACACTCTCAGTGTTTCATTTTTAGCCATTAGTGACTAAATATTTAGGGAATAGGGACCTTCCTCAAGATTCCACAGGTAAGTGAGAGTCACCATCATCCGCCCAAATGGTGGAACCATGAGCCTAAGAAGTCATCGTTGACTCATGCTTTTTTTTTTTTTTTCTTTTTCTTTTTTTGAGACGGAGTCTCACTCTGTTGCCTAGACTGGAGTGCAGTGGCACGATCTTGGCTCACTGCAACCTCCACCTCCTGGGTTCAAGCAATTCTCCTGCCTTAGCCTCCTGAGTAGCTGGGATTACAGGCACCCACCACCATGCCCGGCTAATTTTTGTATTTTTAGTAGAGACGGGGTTTCACCATCTTGGCCAGGCTTGTCTTGAACTCCTGACCTCAGGTGATCCACCCAACTTGGCCTCCAAAAGTGCTGGGATTACAGGCGTAAGCCACCGCACCCGGCCAACGCACCCGGCCAACGCATGCATCTTTTTATCACTCACATCCAACCAGTCATCAAGTCATGGCCTTTTTTTTTTTTTTTTTTTTTTTTTTTTTTTTAAGTTCTGGGATACATGTGCAGAATGTCTAGGTTTGTTACATAGGTATACATGTGCCATTGTGGTTTGCTGCACCTGTCAACCCATCATCTAGGGTTTAAGCCCCGCATGCATTAGCTATTTGTCCTAATACTCTCTCCTCGTCCCCGACCCCGCAGCTGGCCCGATGTGAATTGTTCCCCTCTCTGTGTCCATGTGTTGTGTTCTCTCTTTTATTCCTTTAGCTCCTAAATTCATCTCCTCGCTCTAGTGCTTGTAGCACTAAGCTGATGCAGTCATCTTTCCGTGGTACCACTGCAACATTCTGTTAGCCTTTCTCCTGCTTGCACATTGCTCTACCACGTTCCAATCTTTACTCTGTGGCCATAGTGATCATTTAAAATGAAAATAATATCCTCTGATTAATATTCTTCTCTAGATACTCTCAGGACAAAATTCAAACTCCTTAACAAAATCTAAAGGACCTGTGCGATCCCAGTCCTTTTGTATTTTCAGTCCCATCACATTCTACTCTTCCCTTTTGGATTTTTCTCAATTCTTATAGCATACTATAGTTTTTTGTGTCTCCATGTATGCCATTCCCTCTAATGGAAACATGTTCCCTCTCATCCTGTACATTAACAATGACAACTCCTACTTATTCTTCACGTACCTTTCTTCTTTGCATCGGAAGTACCAAGTTAGGTCTCGTTTGCTGCTCTACGTCATCATAGCACCTGGTGTTTCTGTTCAGTCCTCACTGATTTAGCATTTATTTATATTAGGTTGGTGCAAATGGCACCAAATGGCAAAAACCGCAATTACATTTGCACCAACCTAATAATTGTCAGTTCAATATATGACTTTGTCCTACCCGCTCACCATCCCAAAATTCTACTCCCTAGGTATAATCACTGTTAGTTTTGTGCCTTCCAGACTATTATGAAAGAAAAATGTATTGATAAGTGTCAGCATAATAATATATGACAAACAAAATTAAAAGATAGAAATATATATAGGCTTCCCCCTCCTTTGCCTTCTAATGGACATGTTAAATACCCCCTGCTCAGGACCGGGGCCAAGTAATTGGTGAATAGAATGAAAGCTGGTCTTTCAAATCCTTTTAGTGTGAAGAGCAATTTTTTTTAATGAAAATAAAAAATCTGAGAAGGAAGGAAAAAGAACAAGAAAGAAAATAGTCTGTGAAAACTGAGTTTTGAGTTTTCCTGAAATTTTCGAGAAAGTAATATAAAATGTTGCAGGGGCCACCTCTATGCAGTGATAAAAGGGCTTTGGAAAAATTGATAAATAAAAGAGATTATTACAAAGTTTTGTTATGTGTTATGTATATATGCATTTAAGGCATATGAAATTATTTCTATTCTTATTGGGACAGGGGGAGGCATGTGGGACTTGTGTTTTATTTCTGAGTGTAGCACATGGCTGTCTCAGTTTTGTTTGGGTTACATATAAAACTCATTATAGGAATTTGTTCTGCCTAAACAGGTATTTAAGATTCTCTCAATAGTAAAAGAGGCCAAGATTAA